GTATTTTGAGCTTTTTGATATTTTGCAGACACTGAGTTTAGGTCAGATAAAATAAGAAAATTTTAGTCTTGTCCTTGGCTACTTAACAAATCTTATGGTTTTAGAAAGTAGTTCTGTGATGTGTTGTATCGCATGCAAAAAATAAACTTCGCTCGTTAAATTTTGCGGGTTCGGTGAGTTTCAGAAAATGGTGAAAATTTGCTTATAAAAATGGAGTCCGAGGGGGTCGAATAAAGTGATGCTCGTATCTCTAATACAAGGGCAGTGAAGAACCTATGTTTGGTATATTTGTCCATTACTCCACCAGACCTATCTATGATGTTTGTATCAACTTATTCTGTTGACCCCCATCCGTTGACATTTTTAACATTTTGCCCGGTTTTCTCTGACAACCACTCTTAAAATAAAAACCGTTCATTTAAACCGCTTCAGAACTTCATTCTAGACCCAGTCCACACTCGCACACTCGCTCTGACAATCATTTGACCTCACTTCATATAAAACCGTATATCTGGAAATCATAGCAACCGTCTGGCTTCCTTAAACTTAAATATGTCCAAAAAATAAACAATTACCAAAGTGAAATACCTCTGAAAAAAAAGGTTTGTTGCTCTCCCCCTGCCCCCACGCCCTGCCCCTCCATAGCCCGAGGGCAAAAAATGGATCAAATTTACGTTTACCTCTCTTCTAAAACGTTTATATTCTAAATGTTGTAAAAGGCCTAAATGTGATGACATTTTGCCCTAAATGTAATAAAGTCCTCAATGTATGTAAATACTCTTTGCTCTAAATGTAATAAACTCTTAAGAGCGGCTGTCTGTAAATATCGAGAATTTGCCGTCAAAACTGTAATTTCGAAATACTTCATTTCAGTCAGGAAAAACCGTTTGGTGAAACATTTTCGAAAATCACAATCAAAGTTTCCAAAGGATTTTCTTTTTCGAGAAAACCGCGAAAAAGTGAAAGTCATGTAGTGGCCGGTCTAAAATCTTTGAATTTTATCATTTTCAAAGCCCTCGGGAAGAAAGGCGGTTGAAGGAAACAAGTTCATCTTTGGCAGGTAAGTAAGGCATCCCAGTTACAATACTATTTGGTAAAAATATCTCAAGATAATGCATTCTTTACTCGGTTAAAATCGCCCGAAGATTCCTATCTTCAGCACTTGAAAGAAAATGAAATTTTGGGAAACTTTAAAGGAAAAAATCATCACGGCTTGGTACATGAAATTTTAGAAGAATCTTTACACCTCAGTAAAGCCCTACTGTTGTAGTACAAAATATGAAAAATCCAGCTTGGGCAATTAAAAAGCAACCCGCCGAGAGAGGTAAACGCGCAGTTCATTTTCGTCGATGTTTTTGCATAAAATGCACGTTGAAATCGTCACGCAACCGGGGGTAACACAAACTCCAAAAAATTGTCTTGGATTCACATTTTTTCGTGGTGATCAGGAAAATAGTTTTTACTTGCAAAATCGAAAGATTGATTGAGTCTTTTATTGCTCTGGTATGAATTGACTAGTTAGAAAGTTAGATAATGGGCGATCGCAATGAACCAGCTCTGAAAGGTCAAACGGCCGTTTCCATATAAGGGACTGTGCAATAATTATCAGGAGGGGGGGGGGAGGGGCTGAAAAACTAGAGTTATCTAGCAAAAACTTAGACAGTACCCCCCCTCCAAAACAAAAAAAATTAGTTCTAACTCCCCCTATGTTATGTTGAAAATTGCCACATATAGATGGAATTCTGCAAATCGATTCAGTCGATGAAGAAACATTACTTTTTGTCACATCAAAAACCGACAAAGCTTGTCTACGAGATCTGTTTGATTCCCATTGTTTTATGGGCGAAGCTGAAAAACAAGTTCATGATTTTTGCTTTACATAGGATCAGCTCAATTAATTAGAAGACGGGTTAAAATTGATCAGTTGTGAATTTGCTTTTCATTTTGATGGAATATTTTCAATAATCGTTTAACAGCTGTTCGTGTTGATATTTGTTACAGTCTATCATGATGCCTGTATTGAGAATCTTTTATTGCGTTTAATTTTATTTACCTTTCGAATAAAACTTAAGGCCCCCCTTCCGTCAAATGAGTGATTTTACTTTGAGCCCCCTATCTTGGCAGCAATTTTATGTAATGCCCCCCTCTGGTTTTAGGACCCCCCCTTCCTGATAATTATTGCACAGTCCCTAAATGTCAACAATGCGGAGGAAAGTATGGAGTCTTTTATTAAAATATATATTTTTGTTGAAATTAGATTTACTTGACGTAAATTTTTTGATCTGAGTCGTGTGGTGTATTTTATACAAAGAAATTGCTTGAAAGAAAACGGACTAAGATTCAGACAAACATTGAATTTAAAATGGTAAATAATTAGCCTGCGAACCGCAGACCAAAGCCGAAAAAACCGGATGCTCTCGAAGGCTAGTAAGGCTCACTAAATAAATAAAAACGAGCTGATTGAAAGATTAGGTGCCGTGTCAAAAGCTTGTCAATCTTGGCATCTGTGAGGTATGTCTCTTGATTTCGTTGTTAACTGATTGAAAAAAAAAGGTAATCATTACAAAAAATATAGACCGATCTTGGGCTACTTTATTAGGAAAGGAGCATTTTATTTGGAGAGGCGGAGGGAGAGAAGAGGTCGAGCAATTTTTTCCATTTTTTTTCAGCCGCTCTTATCTGCAAAAGTTTTTTTTTCGCGACATATGTACACGTATATTCATAGCCTTTTATCACAGCCCACGCCTCATAAGTTTATTTAAATCAGATTAATCAACCTTGGTACCTCTAGCAACAGTTGTTGTATTATATTTTATTAGTATATACACACTCAGTGAGCTTGGTAATTCAAGCAATCTGATTGGTTAGCTATCTCAGACTATGACGTTATATTCACCGCGCTAGGCAATGAATATAAAGCAGAACAAAATCGTTGTCGTGAACTGGGTGTTTTGCAAAAGTTTAATCGTAAAGCCTTTTTGAATACACGAATATCCAAGTGCTGATGACTTTGAAGGCAAGAAAAGACTTCATGGTGTTTAAACGGCGTGATTTATTGTGAAGTGGTTTACTATAACTGACTTTTTGTACGCTCGAAGCTATGTTTACCACTACAGAGGAAAACGAGGTCGCTTTGTCACTGTTTTATGATTTCGGGATTTTCTCGCACGACAAGTTTTGCCTATGAATACAAGTTAATTTATGGAGAAAAGAGGAAAGCAAATAGGCATACCAAAGTTTAATCTCACACTTTCTAGCTACAGTAGTTTGGGAGCTTGCAACCTGATATCGTAAACCCATGTTTTTATTAATTGACAGCTGTCAAAATAGTGTTTCTGCTGACCAATATCGCCTGACCGTATCGCGGGGTCAGGTATCGACCCACTGAGTTCGAGTGTTTTTTTGAAGTTATCCGCTGACAAGTTGCTGCTTTTCAAATGATCGCAGGCTCAAGTTCAATTTTTTTAAAATGCATATGAAATAAGTCGTGTTCATGAGCCGCACTTTTAAAAATTTTGATTTCGAACTGACCTCGGACGCGAAAATTCAACCGGCTTTTACATGCAGGCAAGGCAATCGCTTTTGACTTTTCTCACTCTCACGCGTTGATCACGCTCTACGTCCAATTTTTATGTTATGATTGGTCAAAATTTGACAGGTGAGTTCATGCGGAAAATTTATGCAGCTTCTGGAAACTTGCTTACTGATTAGCTGAAGCTGACAGAGTCTTGTGTCATCTTGCGATGTTTTAAACTGTCTTTTCTACTTGACGTACAAAATGAAATACAGCTGCTATCAAGATTGTTCTGTAATTCATGCTGCTTTGTTTATTGCGCTTTTTGTTGACAAATGCACCGCTTGTCAAAGTCATTGGAAATCCCATTTCGGATGGCATCGTTTTCAAAAATGAGCTTACTCATTTGCCCTTGCTTGAGGCGTAAGAGGGTTGAAAAGACTCAAGCGATTCCGGAACACTAATGATGACCTTCAGAAGCAGCATCTCGACTGGTAAGCCTGAGCAATTATTGTCTTTGATGTATTTTTTTTGTCGGTTTCCTGAAGTCGAGCGTATGGTTTATGCGGCTTAAGTTTATACACGAGCAATGATCTAACCTACAATAGTATTAAGCCTTTAGACATTTTTTGACCGCAAATTCAAAGAAAAGGTTCCGAAGAATATTTAGTTATGATTATGGCTGTAAACAGAAATCTCTGAGCGATTTTCTTGCCTCGAGTTCATCTTGAAAAAGAGCAAACACCGGTGAGCCGGCTTAAAACATAAATAAGCTTATGCTTACCTGACTCATGATTTTCAGAGACACTTTACTCTCAATACTTGTCTTCATGAATGAAAATTATTGTCTCTGTACATGTTTCACCGAACTATATTTATTTTATTGATTGTTAGTAGTCCCTCTCACAATTTTTATCGCTGCACCGGTTGTTTGCAGTCAAACATAAACATCGCATGCAGGAATACTCAAAACGCCGCGCGTAAATATCACTCACTTTTAAAGATTACACATACCAAAACCATAAACAGTGTTATAAATAAAGGGAAATAAAACCCAAACATAACAAATTCTCTATCATTTTGAAGCGTAAATGATAACTCTATTAATCGCACTGCAAATTTGGTGCCTGTCAAAAGTGAAAACCCGTCCGGCTGGCCGAAAAGGTGATTTCACTAAAAGCCCATAATTATTACCCTGCATATCACATAGGATCAGTTTTTTCTAACTAAAAAGTCCCAGCATTGTGGAATTCGCTTCATGAAAACGTTTTGTGGTCAATGCTATAATTTGTTGTGCAAAGGAAGCGTGTGTTTTGGTCGTCAAGGGTATAAGCGAGTTCGGAGTTCCAGCGGTCGATCACAAGATTGCGTGCGACTGGGAACGAGTCGGGATAAAAGTTGCTTCGATTTGCTCGAGTTAAGTTTTTCGACGGTCACCGTGTTTTGAGAAAGAAAATTGCGGGCACAAGGATTTTTACATAAGGAAATGAGGATTTGTGCAGTCGTTGGCTGCAGTAGCAGTACATATCAGCTGCAGAAATGGAGGAAGGGGTTTTGCACTTCGCATAATTGCCATCGTACAAGTCAGGACTGTACATGTCCTGACCTTTTTCAACTTTATCCTTTTCCAACATTGAAAGGAGACCCTGAAAAGAGAAAGGAGTGGGTTAAATCTATCAACCGAAAAAACCCTAAAACAGGGAAAAACTGGCAGCCAAGCGAAGACGACAGGGTTTGTTCCAAACATTTTGTGGATGGACAACCTACCGTAGATCATCCATGTCCTACTGTCGATATGGGGTACAACTACCAACCGAAAAAACATCAGGTAAGAGCGGCCCGCAAAACGAGAACTATGCAGAAGTTTACCCAATACAGTCCGGCAGAAAAAAAATCTAAAACTGAG